AGCATTCATTTTATTGGTACAGTAATACAATTTGCTGTGCAATACAGCTAAACAACAGGTACTGTACGTATTATATGTTAAATGTTAACTTTTTTTGTAGGCTAGTCATACCGAATTTACTGGGCTAGCCTATGCTGCTAAGCCTATTTTTCGCGTCTAGGCCTAGGGTAGGCCCTAACTGGCCTGCTTATTCGGAAAGGATTCAATAGAAATGTTCCACAAACCGATCTTTCCGGAAACCGAACATCGTATTGTGAAAGTGCACTGTACATACAAATAGATTCCTGTATTTATGTTTCGCTGCAAAATTTCCCATACAGAGGCAGCAGAAAGATTTTTCTGTATCTGTCAGTGTTACTTCATCGGTGGGGGGGGGGGAGGGGCAGCATGATTAGCATGTCAAAAATATGGTATTTGGGCCTTCCGAAGCTGGCAAGATAGTGGCTAGTGAAAGGGATTGAGGACCAGTAAAAATATTAATTTACTGGTCCACTTGGCTAGTTAAAAAAAAACCTTAAGGGAAACCCCTGTTCAGGCATCTTGAATCAAACTAAACTCGAGCAAACAAAACGAAGATCTTCTAGTCTGTATGAAAATGAAGAAAACAGTAATCTAAACTCTACATTGCGATCTGTATTTAAGCACACTTTGTTCATCTGTGTATATAGAAACTAGGGATTAATCACTAGGGATAGAAACTATCGAAAAAAAACCCCAAAAAACAGGTACATTCCCACAGAGTTCAAAATAATCTAAGTATCTAAAATACAGAATTAAGAGCGTTCCCACAAAGTTTAAAAGACTAGAAACTAAGTAAGGAAAGTAACCTATCGATCTTTGGATTTGAAGATGTGCTGCTAGATTTAAATTAACTGTGACCAAATAGACGATAAGCCATTATGTTAAACAAAGGGTAGACGCAAACAAAGAATTAAGAACGTTCCAACAATAAAAAGAGCACCTAATGAAGATAATTAAATATTGACCGAAGCCAGGACTCTTATTGTTAGATGGATCTCAAGGCGAGAAGACAGTGCATTAGTAAGTTGGTAGTAAGTTTAGTACTGAAAATTCAGTTCTTTTCTATTCCTATGAAAGACAGTTGAAACAATCCGGACAGCAATGTCGGTAAATGCATTTGTCACACATTCCGGTAGAGCAAAAACAAGAGTAATCATACTTTATGATTTCAGTAGTTGATTCATCTACAGGAAAAACATCGACGTTAAAAAACACAAAACTTTCCCAGCCTCCGTTCTCAGAGATCCAATCACCAAACCTTTCAATAACGAATTCACCCGTATATTTCTTGAGTTAAAAAATTTCGTTCTCGCTCTTTCCCTTCGCAATTAAAGCGCAAAGAAGATACAGATCATGATGCGGCTCTAATTAATTTCTTCTCCGGCAAACTTTTCTTTCAAACGTGTGATAAGCTGATCGGGACAGAAACCGCTAAACGTTGACAATTCAGGAATATATTCTTTTTCGATCTGCTCAGCAATACGAATAACAGCAAACAGTAACGGTGAGTCCCACGTAATTTTATCATTTGCTTTATATTCTATGTAAGCTTAATTGTTTTGCTTGTCCGGCAACCATGCTGAATGGAGATAAGAAAACTTGATCTTTTTCTACTCAATGAATTATATACACATATCACAAAGGGTGACGTATCGACTGTGACGTAGTAACACAAACAAGTTCGGACATGTCCGAAATGACGTCATAAATTTATTATTCATATTTTCTATAGGATTAACGGCTATAAAGGGTCGTCAATAGACATAATAAAAATATAATACATGTATTGAAAAACATCGTATCCAGTTTTACCACTACGTCATAAATTAATTATTCATATTTCAAGGTCCGGTAAAAGAAAACAATAGGTCTTCGACCGGAAGTTAAGGTCACAAGGTCATTTCCATTGTTCTAAATATCGATGAGTAGTGCCCTAAACAATAGAATTGAGGGGATTAGGAGGGAAGAGAATAGAATTCTTTTCATATGCAAATTATTTCTTTTGTTGGACTATGTACTAAATCTTTCTACTGTCGCTGCGTTTCCGTTGTTGTGAGAATGTGTATAGCGGGATGTTTGAATGTACTATAAGTAATGAAAAGTTTATTGGTCTCACAAAAATCAATGAGAACCTGACCAGTATTATTTCTAATTCCTCTCGAATGTTGTCCTAGACAGTTTTCTCTACCTTGATATTTACCTACTTTCGCATTTTCGCCGCAAATAATTATAATTGTTTTATTTTTATATGTTCGTGTAATTGTTTGTAGGTCTTTATACAGCCTATCTAGTTCCCTGCCGTCTTTATCAACTCTAACGCTAGTTGGTGCATAAACATTAACGATACAAATTACCTTCTATTCTCTTGTTTTTAATTTGCAAAAACCGAAATCCTTTCAGATACTTTCCAATATTAGTGAATGCTTTTAACCCATCTCTTTTCTATCATTATGGCAATAAATTGTCTTATTCACATGATTTAAAATACGAATTGAGATATGACTTAGCCATTACAGTAATTTGAGATCGCACTACCCTCTGCGTCCAGATATAATTTTTTTTTTTTTTTTTTTTTTTTTTTT